CATTGTTGACATTCTTCCATTTCCTTCGCTCCTCCATTTTACTCATCATCTCCTGTGTAACCCATGGTTTTCTTGCTATTTTCTCAACTTTACCAACCAAATCACTGATAGTATCTAACATGCATTCTTTTATATTGTTCCACTGCACTTCAGCATTTCTGCTTTCACCTTCAATTGCACCGAGTTTCTCTTCTATGGTCTCCTGCATGCTTTGTCTTTGAGCATATAACTTCACCAAATCCCATCTAGGTCTGCGCTTTTGAAATCTTATTATTTTCTTCAACCTGGTTCGGAACCTGGCAACCAGTAAGTTGTGGTCAGAGTCAATATCTGCCCCAGGCAGCATCTTCACATTCTTCACACTGTTTCTGAATCGATGTTTCACAAGGATGTAGTCCAGCTGATACCTCCTCCAATCCCCAGGTGCCTTCCATGTGTAAATTCTTCTCTTTGGCTTCTTGAACCAAGTGTTGGTGACAATTAGTCCATTTCGTTCACAAAAGTCAATAAGCATTTGACCCCTGTGATTCCGTCTTCCTAGTCCATGTGAGCCAACAATATTATGATATAGTTCATCTCCAACAATGCTATTCCAGTCTCCCAATATGATGCTGTTTGTGTCACCTCTTCACCTTCCTGAAGAATTTCTTCAATTGTGTCATACACTTTTTCCACTTCATCATCTTCATACTCTGATGTTGGCATGTACACTTGCATAATCAGTATATCTACAATTGAAAAAAAAATCCAATGACCTTATCAGGATTCGATCCTGTGACCTTCTGGCTTGTCAGATAGAAACAATCTGGAATATACGGGTAATAAAACATGAAACGGGAAAATCACATCTGACTGAACAGATATCATCTCTCCTTATAAACGATGAAAAGGTTGAGGACCCAGAAGAAATTATGGATGCCTTCAATACTTTTTTCTGACAATTTACAGAAAATCTAAACTTGTATCAAGAAATGAGAGATAATGCCATTTCATTTTTAAGAGAGGCATTTCCTAGAAAATTCCCTGGTATTAAAAGCATTCCAACCACTGAAACTGAAATAGAAGGTATAATACATTTCCTCAAAACAAAAAACTCTTCAGGTTGTGGTGGAATAACAAGTAAAATTTTAAAAGTTTGTGGATCCCTAAACAGTGGCCCATTACCTCACATCTGTAATCACTGACTATCCACAGGAATCTTTCCTAATTGTCTTTAATATTTCATTAAGACCAAAAAAAGAGGGGGAGGGACAAGAATAGTATGTCAAACTACAGGCCAATATCACTGCTAACTACTTTCTCTAAAGTACTTGCAAAAGTTATGCACAATAGGTTAAGCCATTATTTTTAGAATAACAATATACTAGTCCCTGAAAAGTTTGGTTTTAGGAAAGGGATTTCCATTGAAAATGCAGCCTTTAAGTTAACTGAGAGTGTGTTGAAATCTGTTAATCAAAAAATGCATGTTGGTGGAATATTCTGTGACTTGGCAAAGGCTTTTGACTGTAAATCATGAAATTGTATTAATTAAATTAATTTTTTTGGGCATTCAAGGAACAACGTTAAGTTGGTTTGGATCCTACCTAACAGATAGAAAACAAAAGATTGAAATAAAATCATCAATTTCAATCCAAAGTACTTACTCAAACTAGGGAATAATAAAACATGGAGTTCCACAGGGGTCAATTTTAGGGCCTTTGCTTTTCATAATTTATATAAACAACATCCCTCCTACACTAAAGACCTCATCAGTACCTATAATATTTGCAGATGACACTAGTGTTAAATTTCTGGTAAAAATTTAGATGATTTCTGCATGTCATCAAACAAAGTTTTTTTTGCAAATGAGTGAATGGTTCTCTGCAAACAAGCTGTGCCTGAACCTAGAAGAAACAAATGTAATAAAATTTATAACAAAAAACTCACCACAATATCCATTAAACATTGGATATAATGATAAATATATAGAAGAGGGAGTAAACACATAATTCCTTGGCTTGCAAATTAGTAATCATTTAAAGTGAAAAAACCATATCAATCAGTTGATTCCAAAGCTAAGCAGAGCATGTTATGCAGTTAGATTCATGTTACATATTAGTAACATTGACACTCAAATTAATCTCTTTTGCTTGCTTTCTCTCTTCAATGAAGTATGGAATAATTTTCTGGGCAATTCGTCTGACAGTAAAAGTATTTACATTGCAAAAGAAAATTGTTAGAATCATGATGGGTGTCAAATCCCACAATTCCTGTAGAGATCTATTTAAGAGACTACAGATTTTAACTTTTCCTTGTAAATATATATATTCATTAATAAACTTCATTACAAATAACAGAGAACATTTTCAGATGAATGCGGATGTACACAGTGTTAACACAACACAAACACTGTCTTCATAAGCCAATTGCTAACCTCTCATGCTTTCAGAAAGGCATATATGCTGGGATCTAAATTTGTAATAACCTGCCATCTGATCTCAGAGGTCTTATGAATGAAAAACTATGATTTAAAATAGCACTGAAAGGATACTCAAATACACACTCATTCTGCTCTGTTGATGAATACCTGTTGCCTAGAAAATAACTTGTATATATAAATAGCCTTGTGTGTAGTCACTGTGTATTCTTGGTTTCTCTTGTGAGAATGCCATTGGGACTGTACATATGTTTTGTATTTATATGACATATTCCACATCCTACAGTCATTTTGACTAACTTTGGATCCATGCAATGCAATGTTATGTTATGTCTCATGTTCCAGATTGGGTGGCACCCAAGGCATACTACAGAACAACAGGATCGTTCGACTACTACAAAAAGGTGAGGCTACTTCTCCACCTGAACCTTCGGAATTGCTACAAGGTGATTCTTGGTGAGTAGCTGAGTGTACCTTAACCCCACGTGTGGCTCCTGTGCCCACAGAATGACTATCATCTGTGTAACAATCAGGAGCAACAAACCAATAGAAACACCAGAACACAACACGGAACAGAACAACTAAAATGGTTAGTAGTACTTCAGTTAAAATGGTGAACCTTTCATTGGAAAATAAAGTCCCCAGTGAAGTGAAGTGAAGTGTATAAAACCAGACAAAACAAGTGGTTCCCCGGGAATTCATCTGACTACTGCATCAAAAATTACACAAAATGATTACAAGGATCTTAAGAACTTACTGGTCAATTTTATTGCAGAATTGTGACAGGCTAATAATAATAATATTAACTTTCAAAAGTTGTGGGAGAACTTAAAATTAGATAGTGCTAAACTACAGGAGAGAGTGATTTCTAGTTATGTTAAACCTTCTGAGAAGATTGAGCCTAACAACGAAGACTTATGGGTTAAAATTGAGTTGCATAACGAAAACCAAAAGAAAATTTAGAAATTAGATGTAATCATATACAAGAGGAGGTAAAAGGGGGGGGGGGGGAACCAGAAATGGGTAAAGTTAACCATGTACAGGATGAGAAAGAAATCTACGTGGAACCAGAACTTTATGAGCACACAATAAAAAGTGATGTAAATAGGTTGAACAGTTTGGATGCAGAGATATGTCAGATCAAAGATACAGTGAAAGAAACCTCTGACATAGGTTTAAGGTGATGAAGGGAGAGAGGTGAGCTGATTCAGTTTCAGCAAGAAAATTTTGAGAAACAACTCGAAATAACGAATTTGGAAAATGAGTTAAAGAATAAGAAATCACAAGAAACCTATGATCATTCAGCTCTGCTTGATCCTCAAACTGTCACCCCTAGCAATAATCCTAGTCGTAGCACAGTGTTTGAAATTTCATGTACTTGCCAAAACAATAATTGTAATACACGTAAACTACATTTGTAAAGGTCTTTCCACATCTATCTGTTGCCATTAGTGAGATACACAGTTACAATATTTCACTACCCGTAATTGACAAAATTTTGGAAGGAAATCCAGACAACAGGCATAAACTGGATGAATCCAGGAACCTTTGGAGTGTACCTCAGATGTAGCACCTGTTGGTAATTTGTAAATTCATTGTAGGAAAATTAAGTCGACCACAGCTTAGAGCAGGCATGTCCATCTTCAGACAGTTTGTGATCGACTTTTTAGTGACAAAACTGCTAGTGACCTACCATTCCCTCATATCGTCGTATCTCTCTTTAAGCAAAAATATAGGTAAAAATAACACGACACACGATGTTTGATGTAAAAGCAACTAGTAACTGGTCTGTAGATTCATCCAGTTGGAGGGAGAAAGCAACACAATTGGAAACATCTTTCAACAACTGTTCACTTATGTTTCCACACATCATTTCTAGTGAATCACACATTCTGTCGATCGCTCTTTAAACAGAACACACGTGGCTAACGACGAGTAATGAAATAAAGAGTTCATGTGACAAGGATAGAGTAGGGACTTCCCCACAGTTCACTTAATACAAATGTAAAGCAAATTTCACATAAGCTACATAAGAACAGAAAAATAGGAATGACTGATATGTATTTTCCTTTCAAAATCTTAATATAATTGTATTATATTACAAGTGAATTTACATGCTTTTCACGTATAATTTCCTTATAGGCCTATGAGATCGACCAAAAATCATCCCGCGATCGACGCATTGGACATGCCTGGCTTAGAGTAATTTTCGACGAATGAAAAAAAAAATGTGGTAAAGGACACTCACAAAGTGGCAGTGACTTTTCGCCACATAATTCTGAATGAAACAGAGGTACAGATGACCCTAGTAAAAGTTGTAATCACTACAGTTTAAAGAACTAAGTTCTAAGAACATTACAGACCGAATGTCTCATAATGTTGAAGACCATAACGTGTCAGGTCCTACCCTTCCCAGTGAAATTAATCCTAGGAATTCAGGTAAATTAACTGAATTAAATAACTGCAAGAATTTAATACAGTGGAGCAACTTGTATTGTATATATATGAAGATAACTTGGTTAATAGCCCAAAGATAGAAATCACGTTTAAAGATAAATTTAAAGTGACAGCGACGAGACATGATTTTCGTTCTAACCCTGCCTTCTGGAAAAATGCCAGCTCAGGAACATTATTATCTCTCTAAGTAACAATCTCAGATTTGTAGCTATGGCTTCAGCAGACAAGCTAAATGCAAAGTAAATACAGAATTAAGTGGATCCGAAGTCAGTACTAATGGATTGGTTATTTGTGCTTGTTATACGTGGGATATGGCGCCAAATATGGGCATCGGTGCATCATTACATATCATGAGGAACTTGAAAGGAATACGGAGTAAAGGAGGGGAAATTAATATTACGTAAATTTGTATAACAAGAGATTCTGTATTCCGTATTGAAGTGGTGGGTTTCCCCATGCACTTAGACCGGTTAGTGGTCCATTGTGCATCCCCCTTTAATTTCTACTGTCTCCATACCCTACCGGTACTGGTGCTTACTATCATCCCCTTTCTTCCAGCGAGGTTCCAACCTCCTCTGGCAGTGGTATCTAATAGTTAGTCCCTTTCTGTCAGGGAGGTCCCCCCTCCTCTGGCAGTGATACCTAATACTTCCCCCATCTACCGGAGGAATTGGAAACTACTTGGGCAGGAAATTTTTGCCTAATTTTGCTCAGAGGTCTCCTAGAGACATGAGGTTCTTTTACGTGCCGTAAATCTACGGCACGGGACCCACGGCTTAATGTCCCTCCCAGAGGACTTATTCCGTGAATTTTTCCGCCCTTAAAAATTCCATGACCTCCGCCGGGTTTGAACCCGCGTACCTTGAGTCATGAGGTGGGAACGTTACCCCCAGACTACGGAGGCTGCTTTATAACAAGAGATACTTCCTGTTGAATTTTCAATGGATGCTACATTAAGTTTGTTCCAGAAACATTTATTCTTTGTCTTAATTTTTTGTATGAAGTCTGACATATTAAGGGCGAGTACCTGTTTTACTCTTGATAGTGTTGCATATTTCGGCCAGAGAAAATAAGTAAACTTGGCGGATTTTCATAAGAGACTGATGGCTCCTGGACATACAAAATGCAGTTGAAAACTGACTGTGCTTCATTAATTAATCACAACCCCATGTAGGCATGTAATGGAAGTATAGCTGCATCATTCTTCGCCCGGCAATACATGGAAGTGAGTTGTCAGATTCAAACTCCCGCCATTTTACCCCCAGAGGAAAGTTAGCCTGGTACCCGTTGGATAGATCTAGTCTGGTCCGGTGTGGACGTTGAGGAGTATAGAGAAATCTTGTTTTCCTGCAGGTAATGGAGCATCCGGCGTCCAACCTGTAGGTCTAGGTCGTCGCTATACCGACTGAGCTGTCCAAAAAACAATTGTCTGTTCAAATATTAGAACGCCAAATTCGTTGCAGTCCCTAGATCTTCGAACTGCTCGATGTAGTGGGGGAATGGAGGTCGGATCGAATATTGTGATGGAATTCTTTTGAGGTTTTCCAGTGTACCGCTTCCTTCAGCATCTTTTGCAATTCATTATTCCCCAGTAATTCTGTGACTGGACGCTAAACCACCTGCGCTAATGACAGCGTCATTAAATATGTAAAGGTAAAGCTATCCATGTAATTGGGTCATGGAGGCCCATCGAGTTATGAGACGTCGAGGCTCCCGCATTTTTCTAGACAGCTCACAGATGGCGGTGAGGTCAGCCTTACGCGCTAGCTGCTGTTCGCCTTCAGATAAATTCCTGGTACTCATTTCTGTTAGAGGTTGAGTCCATCCCAGGGCCATAGTGCGGCTGGAAAGATTAGGTCAATTGAAAAATTCAGTGACATCGAGAATGAAACCCGGGACCTTCCGGATTGTAGCCTAGTGCCTTAATCCACTACGCAACTGCGTGCCCCTAATATACCGTAAATTCATTTAGAATCTTGAGGCGTCAGATTCTGTGGGGCCGTAGCTGAATAGTTTCTTTGTTCCAGGAGCTACACATTACATAGAGGCGTGAAATGGATTTGTTTGCAGTTTCCAGTGAAGCTTGGCGAAAAATATTTCGTTATAATGTAATGCTGTTCAAAGTCTTTGCTCTCCATAGGCCTGGAGTTAATAGAAATATTTACATATCACTCACTCACTCACTCACCCACTCATGAAGCTCAGCCCGTCTTCAGTAGCTGCCAATTGTGCAACTACTCAAGAACTTCCCAGCATTTTATGGAACCCGGAGGTTCCTTATCGTCTTCACAAGGGCCCTCCACTGGTTCATATTCTGAGCCAGATCAATCCAGTCCATACCACGCCATTCTATTATTGTCCGTCCACCTACGTCTTTGGTGTTCCTAATGGTCTCTTCTGACTTTACCACAAATATCGTATATGCATTCCTCTACTCCCCCTTTCATGCTATATGCCCTACCCATCTCATCCTCCTTAACGTCGTCATTCTACTTACACTTGACGAAGAGTACAAGCAATGAAGCACCTCATTGTGTTATTTTCTCGAACTTCCTGTTGCTTCATCTCTCTCCACTCCAAATATTCTCATCACCCTGTGGGTCCAACTGTATCCCATTTTATTCTTGCGTTGTACTGCATTTTATTAATTCAGTGACCATCCATTGTTTCTATACGTGTCAGCCATTGTTGACTGTAGCCTTCTGTTTCCGGTAATTGAGGACACTGAGTACGCTATGTGCTGTTTCCGGTACTGCATACTTGCATTTTTTGATGTAAAAGATACCGATCGAAGGACAACACATTTATAAATTGCTGGTCCGTGAATCAGAAAAATTTGAGAGAAATTGGTGCAGTGTGTATAAAGGTAAAGTTGTCAGTGTGTTTGATTAATTAAGCACCACGCCATGAGACTTATGGGGGAGTAGAGATATGGCTCTATGCATTC